AGTTGAAAGGATTCTCAGGTATTTGAAGACTTGCCCAGGAAAGGGAATTCTATTCAAGAAAAACAATAAAATTGATATTGAAGCTTATACTAATGCAGATTGGGCTGGTTCTGTTGGGGACAGAAAATCAACCTCAGGGTATTGTACACTTATGGGAGGGAACCTGGTTACATGGCGCAATAGGAAGCAGAATGTTGTTGCTAGATCAAGTGCAGAAGCTGAATATCGAGCTATGGCTCACGGGGTTGTTGAACTCCTATGGCTCAGGACTCTTCTAAATGAGCTTGGCATTAAAATTGAGGGTCCTCTGAGACTGTATTGTGACAACAAGGCGGCCATCAACATTGCAAATAACCYTGTGCAACATGACAGGACAAAACATATTGAGATTGATCGACATTTTGTTAGGGAGAGAATAGTCTCGGGAGAACTCTGCATTCCTTATACTCCATTTGAGATGCAAATTGCAGATGTATTGACTAAAGGGCTGGCTGCAGCAAAATTCAAGGACCTTCTTGGCAAGCTAAACATGATGGACATCCATGCTTAGCTTGAGGGGGAGTGTTAGGATTGAAGGGTTTTATGTATTGATGGTTCGGCCGATAAGGGTTCTTAGTAGTCTGTATTTATGTTTTAAGTTGTTTTGTACTGGGCCTGTGTTTATGGGCCTAAGTTTATTTGCTGTTTTAAGTAGTCTGGGTGTCCCATCACTAATCAGGGGCATTCCAGACATTTCCTGTAACATTGTACTGTAATATAATATAAATAACAGTACTGTCGACTGGACAGAACAGTTCGACATTCTCAGCACCTCTTGGTCTCCTTCTCTCTTCTACTACTTCGACTACAGCATTTCAGCTTTCACCTTTCATGTTCATTCCTCAAATGTCAAAACCAGTTTCTGATATGGTGGTTAAAACTTGAAGTATGGTTTTGGATCCTATCCCACTCAGAATTTTATTATGTTCAAATAATCTGCTTTAAATGCTCATAGTATGTAGGTTGTAAGATCATCCTATGCTTGATTGAAAGATATCACTTGCTGTAGTCATGTTCTAGTGTTGCTAGGATGGTTCCGAGGCCATTACTTGGTACAGATCCCTAGCATCAAAAACTGCACCAAAATTTTGAATCTCCACACTCTTTTGGATGGTTTGGATGTCAGGAACTGGGATGAAATGATGGTTCTCATGGCTGACCTGACACCTTTCATAATGTTTATGCTTACTACAAGCTTCTTAAACTGATGTTCTGTGAATTGTGTTCACTGCAGAGGTAAATTCTGTTTCTAGGCACAGAAAGGCTGATGCAGAAATTTTAAAGCAAGAGAGTAAGTTTCCAGATCATCACAGTGAAAATATTTCAGGACATTGTAGGGATTCAAATAATTTATTATTGCACAAGTGTGAGAGCAAACAATTACACCGAAAAGGGGGAAAAGTTCCAAGAAGTTGTAGTCCCTGTTCTAAGAGACCACGAACAGAGCAACCAGAGAATCCCATGACTCAAGATGGAATCGTAATATCTGAGAAACTAGCATCTGGGGTTACAAAATGCACATCTACTGGTACTCTCTCTCTCTCTCCTCTCTCTTCTCGCTATATATATATGTATTTATGTATATATATAACACATGGGTTTCAACTGTGCAACATGTGGCAAGGTAATTGGTATAAATTTGACTTATCATGATAGTTGAGCTCTAGTCAAATTATGGATGACATGAATAAGCGGGGCAGTCAAAGGGCTTTTAAATTTAACAGCTTTTGAGTGGGTGGGTTAGGTTTGGTGTGCGGTGAATTGGGTTGGAACCATATATGTAATACTTAAACAAGTTGCTAATAAGTGTAGGTTATTTTTTGTTTGATTCTTTTCAACCCCCACCCAACCCTACCTAACCCGCCCAATTGTCATCCCTCGCGAGTCATTTCAAACTCTGTATCTTGCCTATAGCATCTGTTGCTGATTTCAACAATTACTGTTTTTATTGAATCTTATTTGAGCTGTTTGGATGCTGTATTGATGGTATCAACTTCGTCTTACTTATTCATCCCAGAAAAATCTCGGGTTATCAAACAAAAGCACAGCCTAGATGGGAAACGAGGAGACAGAAGAAATTCTAAAGCAGCTATGAAGACTAAATTTGACTCTTTCTTTTCAAAGGCTGGTTTTATTGGCTCTAATTCAGCTGCAGGAGGGAATAATCTTCTTGGTACACCATTATACACATGAGAGTTTCTTGTATTGTTATGTTTGATTATTCTTTTGTGCATTTTTTCTAGTTGATCTTGTTAGCTACATTTCTTGCTATTGAAAATTGGTGGCCTTTCAATATATTTTATCTTGTTCTAGTTGAATGAAGCCCTGAAATGTTTTTGAAGTTCTCTTAATATGTTTATAATATGTGAAAGAATAAACAAGAATTGATTTGTTGCTTGAAATCTAATTGGAGTACTGGATTCTGAAAGTGTTGACTTTTTAAAATTGTCACAGTATGATTGTCTTCAATGTTGCCTTGAATTTTTAAATTGTGGTTTCTTCTCGTGTTGTTTAAGTGTTTGTGGCTTCATATACACATGTTGCAAATTCAATACTACAGGAAGGACGGAGGGGATGTATGTGGCTGATGGACATGTGAGAGTTTATCAGCAGTGAGGATGTTCTATTTACAATCAACCTCATCTTAAAGTATTCTTGAAAAATAGATGTGCATGTTTACCAAACCCTGTTTTAACACAAACAAATATACTCATAGATACACATGTATCTATAGTTATGCAGATCTATAAAATATTTCTAGAATATCAGGTAGACTATGACATACAAGTCAAGAGGTGCTTTCAAGCTTTTATTGTTTACTGACATTTGTTGGACAATTTTGGCAAGCACTCTTTTTCTCCAACTTCATGGAGCTTACATGGAATTGGAACTTCATCCCTTTGGTGAAAGGAGAAGAACATTGTGTGGGAAGGAAGAAATTTGGGGATTTTCAAGGACCTGAGCTAATTTTGTCCTAAGAAGATGCTATTTCTTTTTGAATGACTATTATTGATTTACAAAGATGCATTCGATCAAAAAAAGATGCATTCTGATTAACATCTAGAGATTGATATCTTCTTGCCTATACCTGCCTACTCCACTTGGAGATCTGTTTTTGTTCCCCGCTTCCCCCAACAAAAGACAGGGTCAAGCTTCATAGAGTTGATTGTCAATGGATGTCCCATTTCAAATTTGGAGCTGCCAGGCATTGGTGGCATTTTGAATGATAATCAAGGAGTTGCCAATTACTTGGGAGGTTGATTGGGAGTGCATTAATACCTGTGACATGATTGGAAGAAGGAGAAAGGTTCTCTTTTTCTTTCTCCCCATATTTGTGTATGTTTATGAAGGATGGTGAATTGATTAATCACCTGCTAATTAATTGTGAGGTGGCTCATTCTCTGTGGCAATTCTTCTTTGATCTTGTGTATGGTTGCAGTTTCTGTTGGATTCCTCCCAATAGTGTTGCAAGCTTCTTCAATCAGTGGCCTTCTTGTAGTTTGGGTTCTAGAGGCAAAATCTTTTGGAGGGATCTAACTCATGCGGTTATGTGGTGTATCTGGGAGGAAAGAAACAAAAGAACTTTTGAGAAATAAGATTGCAAGGATGGAAGCTCTTAGAGGAAGAATATTTTCCTGCATTATCTCCTGGTTCCTCTCCTCCAATCAGTTTGGCTTTAGGTATGCTGATCTTGAAAGGAACTTGGTAGAGATTCTGCACTCCTCTCATGTTGATAGTCAGCCCAGTCACCCTGTTATTCCCAGACCAGAGCTAGATTTCGTCCTGATGTTTGATGGAATATGTAGATCAATCTCAGGCCTACCTCCTAAGACTGGCATTGGGGGTCTTACTCTTGTCATCGAGGGGGTCTCTAGGAATGCTATTGATTGAGCCACCCACTCGGATAAGGGTCCATGGAGGCTGGGTCATTTCCTCAATGAGATTGCTGAGATAACCTTTTCTCTGTCTTGTGTTTTTAGATGGTTTCCAAGGGAGCTGAAACTGCTGATCTTTTGGTCAAATCTGGGGTGGATAGAAATTGTGTACACTTTGCCTTTGTAATTTGGGTGGTTCATAGGCGGTGCTTTGTTCTGTTTGTGTTGTTTGTACATCTTCTCATGTACATCCCCCCCCCTTTTGAACATAATATGTACCTTTTCTCAAAAAAAAAAGGGTCTTACCATTTACTTCCACTGTGGTCCAGTCCTATATGTGTGGTCAGCTTTTGTAGACTGAGATCCTCTCCACTCTTTGATGTCTTTGGTGGTAGTCATTAGGTTTCAAGCTGCTGACCATACAGAGCAAGGTTTAGCTGAACACTTTAGCTGTTCAGCGGGCTGTGGAATGGGCCCTGCATCTTTTACAGTGGGGCCCATGAATTTATTACTGGCATGGAACCTCATCATCGGTTCCACAGCCCACTGAACAGCTAATTCGAATTTGACTATAAGTGGTTTGAACACCTTGCTCTAGTGGAAGCCAAGGTTAGCCATTGACTTAACAGATGTGTATGACTATGCAAAATGTGAACTATGAGACAATACTTGTGTTGCAGGCATCTCCTTTGTTACAAAATACCTTTTTATGCAATGGTTTGGGGTGCTTGTGGGTTGCCTTTCTTTTCCCTGTTTCTGGACTGCTAATGGCTCCCCTATTTTGTGTTTAGCTATGTACTTTTTTTTTCCTTTGCCTTTTAGGTTTATACAACTTGATTTATTTCAGGATTTTATTGATATTAAACCAAAACATGTATTTTTATTAAACTTTATATCGAGTAGGTTTTCTCGTTTACCTTGAATGTTTTGAGTTTATTTTCATTTGTTTACTCAGACTATTTCACTTGAGTAGTAGAAATAGACATCTCTCTCTCTCACTCTCTATTCTCTCTATCTCAATCTCTCCATATAAGAGGCTGTCCAAGTACAAAACTACCTTCTACTACCCCATGGTAAAAGTGCCAAATGCCTTTTATTTGGACATGCAGGAGTAGATTTTTATTCCTCCTGATGCGAGTATTCTGCACATCTCCATGTGAGTGGCTATTTAAGTAAATAATTTCCACTTTCCCATGTTAAAAGTACCAATGCCCTCTAATTTCACATGTTTCAAACAGTGAATAGCAATACGACTTTATTCTCCTCACATGAATAAACTCTACATGCTTTAGATAAAAAAATAAACTAGTATTTCTAAATGAACATTGTAATTTTAAGCTGGAGTGAATGAGTTATCACACAATATACAGTAAGCCAGTGAGAAGGTGTATTTTGGTTGATGATTAAATGAGGTCATTAAAGGAACTTTTGCAATTCTATGCTTCCATCTGCTCCTGCATACTAACTGGTCTTTTCCCCCTTTTATTCATTTTTTTGTATTTTGGGTCTTGATTCAATACAATTCCAATCTATCTTGGACGATACTATTGTCAAATTGATCAATACACACACTTATACGTACATTGGCAAATTGATCAAAATTCTGTGTCAGCCTATGTGTCAAATACTGAGTATACCTAGATAATGTTCTTTCTAGTTACTATTATAGAGTATTTGAATGCTTGATCATGTATTACAAGAGGCATGGATAATTAATATCTCCTTGATATTATATGTAGACTTGTCTAGTGTGACTGTAGCATGTGAAAGGTGTTGATTGACAATTTGTAACTGCATCTTGAATGCATTCAATGATATTATGAATGGTGCATTAGAAAGCCAAGACTTACATAATGGACTTTGCAAACTATTTGGGCTTCTTGGTAATTGGCTTGAAGCTGAGTAGCTTGGTGATATGTAATGCTCTCTTTTCTTGAGGAAGAGAAGTCTTTTCTGCTGTTTCTTGTTGCAAAGTTAAGGGTTAAATTGCATAACTTGATCTTCATGGTCTGTTTTTGAGAAAGAAAATTCCTTTCCATTGCTTACTCTTCAAAGTTTGAAGGGTTGACCCATTTACAAAGGTAAATTTTTATCGCAAACAAAACCTCTCTAAGAACTATTGAGGTACATATCACCATATATTTTTATGGTTGATCTATCTATCCCTACGAGGGTGGGTCTTAGTGCAACAGTTAGGTTGCTTCATTGCGACCTGGGTGACCAGGGTTCAAATCTTGGAAACAGCCTCTCTGTATGTGCAGGGGTAAGGCTGCGTACATCTGTCCCTCTCCAGATTCTGCATTGGCAGGAGCTTCGTGTACTGGGCTGCCCTTTTATGTATCTCTCCGTATAGTAGATGTATTGTGTTTTATATCTTTTGCAAAATGAATTAGAACTTTAATGTTTAGGCCTAGGGTTACTGAACCAACATAACTCCATATGAAGACTTCAATGATATAGGTGTGCTCACTACCAGCAATTACTTCATGAACACTTATAACAACCATGATGAAACATAACTGTGGATAGAGAGAGCTCCAAACTTTTGCTACAGATAGATGAGAAGAAATGGGTACTTACTGTTATCTTTAGCACATAATTTGCATATTTGAGATGTAAGATATAATTAGTATTTGCATTTCAAAAATACACCAAGTCTTTTTCTTTACAATTGACTTCTTCTACTGTTTTTGTAATTCTTTCTAGGCCTCTATATTGAGATATATTTGTTTTTGCATGAGGATATTACAAATTACAAGGCCTTAAGCCTTATGATGAAATCATGTTTTTGGATTGGTTTGGGGCACAATCATTTTTTTTGTCAACTTATTATTTCTGATTGGTTTGAACTTCTATATATATGCAAAATTCTTGTGTCCTTACTTTTTGCATATGCCTGAAATCATGACACCTCAACTTCTAATTGTATTGATGGTTCTCTCTTTCAGTTCCCATCTATATTTTCTTTTAGTTTATTGATATTATGGAGAAAATATTCCATTTTTAGTTCTTGGTTTGGCCCTTTGTTCTGTTTTCTTCTTTACTGAATTTCACTTTTTTCTGATTTTGTTTATTTGAAATGGCACTTACATGAAATTCATACTTGTGGTTGGGGCATTTTATCATCAGGAATATATGGTCTCAAGTCAGATATTCATGATATTACAAAGCATGTTGATGAGCTGTCATTGAATGAACTCTTTGATGACAATTACAAGTGTCCTAGTTTATGCCAAGACAAGGGGAAGAAAGCCACCAATACGAGTGAAAACATCTTAAACTTGGTTAGAAAGGCTTGCTCCATTCTTCAGTTCCAGAGACACGCGCAATCCCAAAATGTTGTTGATATTGACAGTAACAACAGAAAAACTTCTCCATGGCCATTGAGCTCCGAGTCTTGTGTAAAAAACAGTGTTGACTGTGATAAAGGGGATAATTTCACAACAGATTTGGCTTCATCCAGTAAGGTAAGTTTAACAAAAAATGAAAGATATAGTAGGTTAGAACTTAGAACATGAAAGTGTCTACCAAAGGAGGGTGATACGTGTGACACAAGTTCCTGGAGGCCAAATCTAGAATTCGATGGGCACTTGGTTACATGCATTCATATTACAGACCTCCTTCCTCCAAAAAAGTAAAATAATATAAAATAAAAAGGAAAAGGATGAAAAGGACTTGTATTAATTAGCCATATTATCTGAGTTAGTATTTTATCTATTCTGCTATTTATTTTTTATTTTTTACTTTTTATAGGAGTTATTGTGAAATAGACCTGACTTAATGGTGTCACTGGCCCTTTACGTGTTAATTTCTACCATTGTAGATATGTCTATCAAATTTAGGTGAATTTTTTTTAGAAATTTCAGCTGATATATTGGTTTTGGACCTTGTCCAAAACATTTTTCACATGCATTTGTAGTTGTACTTCACACAATTTTTTTGGAAAATTGGGTTGGGCCATCTGGTTGAATCTGGAAAACTTGGAAGCACACCTACCCTGTTCAATGTTTGAAAGGGTTTTAGCAGTTATGCAGTTAAACCAATATATCTGTAAATTAGATCTATTCCAATTTTCAAATAAGTGATTTCATAATTTTTGGGTGGGTTTTTGGTCAAATGAGTGTGGAATTATGACAGAGAAACAAAATTTCTTTTTGGTAATATGCTGGAACACACAGTACATACACTCAAGAGCATTTATAAACATTAAAATTATAACTACTCCCAGCTCAACTGAAATCAGCTAAGCCTTGTCCTCAAGTCTGTTTCACTTGTTTCAGTGATGCCATTTGTGGCCATACTCCAAGTCGGTCCTTATCAATGTAGCAATGGTCTTTGTTGCACTTGGTTGAAGTATATCTTTTCAAATAAGTTTGCATTGCTCATTTTAATAGTTTACCATCATGTATATCTTTTATGAATTGTCAGTCCATGGCACTATTTGGATCATTTCATAAATGTGCTAACCAAAGTTAAAAGTTCATAAAATCAGATTAATTAGGAAGAGCTCCAGATCAAAGCATTGTCACATACCTAGTTATATTAGCAATTGTGTAATTATTAATTTCAAAATAACTCATTGCAACATAGTGTAGAGATATAGTGCAGTAGTTTTTTTTTGTGTGGTCCCACTTCATATTTATCCTTTATTTCATGTTATTTATGCTATTTCTTTCTCAAATAGGCGGTGGGGGTATTAGTAGAATTGTACATATGTTTTTATTTACAAACATACAAATAGATGAATGGGGCGGTAAGTCCACAGCTAACTGCACCCCTTTTTTCATTCTTTATTCTCCTCTTCTTCTTCTCTTCTGTTCTTTACTTTTATTCTTCTTTTTCTTACTGAATTCTCATCAATATATAAACTAGATACAAATCTTTTCAGCCAAGTTGGTTTCAGAGCCAACCTAGGGTTGATTAGTGTTCTCATGTGGGCATGATCCAGTTGGCTGCATGAGAATTACCTAGGGCTGTAGGTTCAGCACATATCGCCTGATTCTTGGAGGTTCTTGGAGACTTCAGTAGCTGCCCAAGGGATTGACCTTTGGAGACTGCCCAGTGACCAGGAAGAATCAGAGAAACTAGGTAAGTTCAAGGATCAGGGTTTAAACCGAAGGTTGGAGGTGGCGGTCAGAGTTTTCTGGGTAGTTTTTTTTTTTCTTATTGAGATCGACTTTGGGTAGAAGGTGTTTAGACCCTTTTAGAAGGAGTGGTTGACAGAATTCTTGTTCTCCAGAATTTTTTGTAGGGTTTCTCTAACCCCTTGATCAGATTTTTTGATTTCCAGCCCATTACCTTGGCTGTTAATTATTCCTGGGTGACTGTATAGACCTTTCCCACATAGAAGAGACTGTTGTTGGGGTTCCTCTCTTGAAATTGTGTTTTCTTAAGGGTTTATGTATAATGGAGACAGCTGGAAATGAGTCAAAGACTCAAGGGGAAGGACTTGTAGGTGCTGGAAACATGACTGAAAATTCTTTTTAGATCACTACTGTTAGGATGTGACTAGGGATACCCAATCAGCTATGGTGGCCATTGGAGGTAGAGGGAAATTAGGATGTCACTGGGGATACAAAGAAGCCAGCCAAGGAACACCCATCTCACGCGAAATGGGTTCAACAGAACTATTCGGTGATGACCTGGCTGTGCAATTCTATGCAGCCTCACATTAGCCGAAAGTACTTGTGGGCAAAAACAGCTAAGGAGATTTGGGAAAACATGAATGTGGGGGTGGCAATTTTTGACCCAACCCACCCACTTGAAAACTCACCCATACCCACCCATATATCATGTGGGTCAAGTAACCCATTTGGGTCAGGAGAAAAGGGTTGGGTTAGGGTGGGTCATGGTACCCATAGGGTCAATGCAGTGATGTTTAGGGTTTGAAAATAGAATAACTCTTTGCCTTCACCTTGACTCTCTACCCCTCTCTCATCTACTCAAGCCAATGATTCAAACCTGGCAATAGTGATGAAATCTCTATCTTTCTCTGTCCTCCTGTCCCTCTAATCTATATAGGTAGTTGAAATAGGCGACAAATCTGTACAAGTTGAAGGAGAACACAAAGGATTGAAAGGAGTGAGGATTGTTGGAGGCTCAGATTTTAGAAACTCATATTGCGGAAGGGAGTGATGACTCAGATCTATATAGGTTGAAGGGGAGAATGAAGGATAGGATTGTTAGAGGCTTGGATCATGGAAGAATTATGACTTTAGATCTATGCAGAATATGCAAAATAGGATGGGTTTGTCAAGTTCTTGACAATGTCTCATCTAATAATACTAAAGAACTGGGCATTGGATATGTAGGTGGGGGAGAGAGTTGAAAACAATGTTTTGTGGATAATTGGATTGAGAAGAAGAGAAGGGAAGAATCTGTGGAAGAAAACTTACATCCGTAAAACGTACGGCAGGGTTGCAAATAGAGGATTAAATTAGTTGCTGACAATTTCAAACAATAGTGCTTATTGTGGAAAATTTGAGTAGGTTTTGAGAGAAGCTGAAACTCAGATCGATTGTTTTTTTGAAATTTTATAATTTTCTATGTATCTACAATATTTGCTATTTTTGGCTATAATATATAGCTTTTTATATTTTTATAAAAATTTGTGAAATTTATAATTATTTTGAATTGTTATCAATTATGTATTTTAAGCAATTTCTAACTTTTTCTTGAAGTATATATATATATATATATATAATTTTATCATTTTCCTTATTTTTTTCTTCAAATTTTGATTTTTTTAGCTATATATATTAATCTTCTACCATTTTTGTGAAATTTTTGTTTTTTAGTTGAAGTATATATTTTTTAAATTTTTTATAATTTTATGTACTGCAGTTTTTGTGTACTTATATAAGTTTGGTGTTTTTTGTAATTTTTGTTCTTTTTCTACAATTTATATTTTCTGAAATTATTAATTTATTTTTTTTTGCAATTTCTGCAATTTTCTATATTTTTTACAATTTTCTTTATCTGAATTCTACGCTTTCAATTAATTTTATGTATTGCAAGTTTTATTTATTTTTATTTTGTTGGAATATCTTTTACATGAAGTATATATTTTTATCATTTTTTTGTGTTTTTATGTCTTTTTAGTTGAAATATACATGTGTGTATGTTTTACATTTTTCTGTAATTTTCCGCAACTTCTTGTATTTTCTACATTTCCTGGAATTTCTGAAGTTTTACATGAATATATATCTATATATATATGTGTGTGTGTGTGTGTACACAAACATGCACACACACACACCATTTTTTTGTGTTTTTATGCTTTTTTTTATTTTTTATTTAATAATTTAAACTTTTTATGTTTTTAGTTGAAATATATAGTTCTATGTTTTTGTGCAATTAGAATAGAGAAAAATAAAAAAAATCTATTTTGATGTAGAGGTTTAAATGTGTGGGTTAGGGTCAGAGTGGGTTGTGACCCACTAACATTGGTGGCAAATGGGTTAGTGGGTCAATATGGGTGGGTCGGTACTCAACCCACACCCACCATTTGCCACCCCTACGTGAAAGAAACCTACTCTCAGCCCCTTAATGTTGTTAGAGCCTATGAGCTGAAGTGTGATGTAAATAATCTCAAGCAAGGGGAGATGCTAGTCTTAAGCCCTATTTGGTGGTACTTCGTGCTTTATACTTTCAATAGCACCAAAGTACAAAGTATGTGGTATACTTTTGATTTTGTATTTCAAAAATCGTTTGGATGGAAATTTTTTAAAAACATGTTTTTCAAAGTAAAAGTAAATGATGGTGTTTGGATACAATAAAATGTATTATACGTACGCATGCCATGCCACATGGCATTTCAATGCAAGTCAGTAATATGTGAATGCTACATGACATTTAAATGTAAGTCAATAATATGTGGATGCCACGTGGCATTTGGAAGTAAGTCAATGATATTACATGCCGTGTGACAATATAGATGAATGCCACGTGGCATATAATTGTCACAAATTGTGTTCAGATGACATGTGGCATCCATGTGTGCCACATGGCATGATGGCAACATATATGGATGCCATGTGGCATTTGAATGTTGGATCAATGACATGTAAAATGCCACATGGCAGCATAGATGAATGCCACATGGCATGCCATGTGGCATGTCACATGCCACTGAATATATTAATGTGTTTGTACTTCCACATGGCATTCATATAAGCTATCACGTGGTGGGGTGTATAAGTATCACACGTATGGTTGATACACACGTTTTAGAAAGTATAATGTATGTCAGAGGGCCAAAAAGCACGAAGTATCAAAAGCTAGCTTCAACACTATTCTTGCAACCAACTTAGGTCTAGATGTGTAGCACAAACAAAGAACTAATAGAGAAAGAAGAGAAGAGAAAGGGATGAAAATAAGATGAAAACCCTAGGCATCACACCTAAGGGTGAGAGCAATCACACCCCCAACTTGTCAACCACACCAAGTTTTGTAGAGAAACTTTCTT